TTATTGGTTTTAGTAGCTTTCCTTTGCAGTCCTGTTCTGATCGGAGGTGTCCGTGATATATGAACATGAGTAGCAAGAGATCTATGACAAGGATATTTCTTTTGTTCGCAACGGGTGGCCAGTAACCACCGTAACTAAATGAAGACAAATTTTAGACGTTTCGTTTTCGTCTTTTGTTGCCGCCGCACCGCTGATTGCCGGTGACTGCATCTAGACATCTGAATTAAACGATAACTCGAGAACAATGTCGTTTGTTTATTTTTGCTAGTTTATCAGTTTTGATATCGAAACTGTAACTATGAGCTATGAAGTCGTGATGCGATTACATTTTGTAGAAATGTTTAACAGTTAATTTAATCAACGGTTCTTTTTTGTTTTCTAATTTCGGGGACAATGAAATATCTCCAAACGTAGGTCGAAAATAATTTGGAATACATAAAAGTAGGTAGGTAGCATTGTTTTAGTTAATGAAGAAAAACATTTGTCAAGAGGACATTATTTTTCGATTAAATATTCGGTGACCGTAAAAGTGTTTGATTCCGGCTTTTCTCTGTTCTATCTCAGAGCAGTGGCGTAGCAAGGGTGTTCCGGAGACCTCAATGCAAAGTATTGTTAGGGGGCCCTCCACCACTGAAACAGAGGTTTGAGATCTAGAACACAAAAAATATATGTATCTTTTAACCAGCCTACATGTTAAATATAAATGGCAAAGTTGCCAAAAGATGAATTTTAGTTTGTTCGTATTTGAAATGATCAGTTTGAATGCCTGTAATCAGGTGCAGATTCTGTAGTCATAGACAAGTAATCGTTGTTTGCTGTAGTATTTTATCAACTCTGCTGCTTCTTGTTCATACCACATATCGTAAAAATCATCACAAAATAAAATCTAAAATGTATCTTTTGAGCTTAGGCTTTAGCAAATTAATTTACATGATTTGTCGAAATCTGCTGTCCTATTTGCTTCAGTAATGAACAGATAATCAGATTTGACTGTCTTGATTCATTATCGAATGAAAAATATTCTATATAAATTCTGAGGTCAGCGCTTAAAAGAGATTGATTTCAAATTTTGATATAAAAATGACGATTGAACCTATTTTTAGAAACAGAAACTTTAAAATTTTAAAAAGTTTTACAAAAAAAATTACATTACGAATATTTTACTCATAAATTTGATGCCTAACTAGGAGTTATCAAGTGATCAAGAGTCAGTAAAATGTTAAAGACATGTAAAAAGTGTTTTTTGAAAAATTTGGACACATCAGTTTATGACAAATTGAAATCATAATCGGTCGCTTTACTCATCAAAACAGTATTCAGTGTGCAAATTTATTTTTTCTACACCCATGTGGATATAAGCTAAGTATTCTATGCACAAACTCAGGGCCGACTAGAGGGGGGGTAGCCGGGACTAATTCCTGGGGCCCGGGCTTAAATGGGGGCCCGGCAGCGCTGTAAGGGGGGACCGGCAACAGGTTTTTTGTTCTGCATGAGAAATTCGACACAAGATGATAGAGGGAAGTTTAGTTTAAATTAAAATTAAATACAAGTAGAGGAACAGTTTTTTTTTCAGAAGAAGTAATTGAAAGGGAGAATAGTTTTTTGATGTGAGGACCTTTTTTTTAGAAGAAGTAGTAATTGAAGCAGGGAGAATAGTTTTTTGATGTAAGGACCTTTTTTCAGTCGAAGAGAAATAGTTTTTGGTGAAGATTTTTTTTGCCACGGGGCCCATCTAGAGAATTGCCCTGGGGCCCGGCCTGGCTCTCGGTGGCCCTGCACAAAACAATGGTATTTTGAATGAAAAATATTATTTACAAAAAATAAAAATAAACATGCTTTTGACAGAATTATTGCACTTTAACATTGAACAAATTAATTTTAACCACAAAATAACAAGGAGATCATATTATGTTGTTAATGGGATTAAACTTTTTTTAATCTCTTGGCATTAAAAGTAACACTTCAGTACCTACCTAAAATCAAAGATTAGAAAAAATTAAAAGTTCATGAACTATCTTTAAAAGTCACTGTCTTCAACTATAACTACTGATATCATTATTATTGTCTTTTCTGAAGTTTATTATTATAGGATCTATTAAATTTTTCATTGCTATATCCACTTTCCAAAATGAATTTTCCACCTTTTTAACATGATCAGTGAATTTTCTTCAATGTTCTCCATTTACGTCTGAAACTGCCTTCAAAAACAAATTTTGCACATTAAGTAATTTAAATGTTGTATTGTTTCGGAAAACATATCATTTTAATTGTGACCAGATCAGTTCAATGGGATTTAACTCTGCGTGGTAAGGAAGCAAGGAGTGGGCTTGCTATTACGAGTAATTCTGCCTTCAAGGATTTATGAGGAAGGATAATATCTTTAGAAATAAGCCATTTGCCTTATTACATTTTTAACCCAAGTTTCAATAGTGGTTTTGTTTCTTCTTGTGGGCTTTTTCGGGTGCGAGACTTCCCTAATAACTGTATCTTCTTTAATAATGTTATACACTGTCCACTTAGATACTCCATTATAGGTCTTACATTAAGTGGTTATTTCATCCACAGGAAGGAAATCAAAGACTTTTCGAAGATTATTAAATATATTAAGTAAGATATTTTTTCTTCTAAAGATAATGCTTTATGTCCACTAGGTCGTTTACTCTTACTTGTGCTTGCAATATTTTCTAATGTACTCGCAATTCTTACATAAATGCAAAATTTTAATAGTTAGGACCAAAATTCCCTCATACATCAAAAGATAAGTTTTCGGACCGACGTCCATCATATTAATTTAAGGAAAAAAATGCCGTTACTATTCCATCTCATAATAAACAAATGTTCAAAAAATCATTTAGTTACCAAATTCCATTGAACAGTCATCTTCTTGATATACCAAATTTCAGTCTTTCATTAACAGCCTTCAAAAATAAATACAAACAAATTTTTCTACGCGAACAGACCTTTTAAATTTTAAGTTTTGGGTGATTTTTAATATTAATTGATATAGATTAAGGTTCCTTTCACTAGTTAATTATTCTTTTAACTGTATTTTTGAGTTAGTATAAATAATTTTTACTCTTTATTTTATTTATTTATTTTTTCCAGGGGACTGAGGTAGAATTGGTCTTATGACCTATCACCCGACATTTTATTTGCCTAATTACTGTAACTATTGTATTTTGATTTATATTTTGTATTGGAAAAAAAAACTATTATTATTATATACTAATACAAAATTCCGAATCAATTAAAATACATACTATACGGCTATGAATAAATAAAATCTGACTTATCTGTCAAAAGAAAAGGTTTATTACAGTAAAGACCATGGAAACATAATTAAATCTGAACGAAAATTTTTATTAGGCCAATCAAATAATGTACTGATATTTTAATTTTAACTAAAAATATGCATCGAAGGATGAAGTATAAATAATATTTCTTCCTCTTCAACCTGTACTACGTTCTGCAAATTAAATTACTGCACTCTTTTCTTCTCTAGACTATATGAAAGGAAGAGAATGCTATTGCGTTCAACTGAACAAATATATTTCATATCCATTCTACTTAGTAAGAACATTGCATAAATATTGAATCCACCTATCACAGTTCACATTTTGGTCACCCAGCTACTATTATTTTTTAAAGTTTAAATTCTTAGTTATTGAAATTAAATATACTTTAAAATGAGTCTTGTGACAAATCGATAGATAAAAAATAAATAATAAGTATACTATACAATTCGAGTGGATTGTCCGTATTTCGTCTTCTTACGATATGTCCATCATATCCACTCTTGTTGCATAAACTACTATTGTCCCAGTACCTACTTACATATTTTACTCTTTTTAGTTCATATTGGTTAAAACACTCATTTGAATATTTGAATCCAGTTAGCACAAAATTGTCTATTACTGTTACTAATTCACTTTGTGCTCGTAAAAGGGCCTAGTATTCAGCCAAAATATACAAATATTATTCATTAAATTCCCAGAAAATTTTCAAACAAATCCAATATTACCTCTACGAAATAATAAAAAATTATTTTTGAACACCAAAGGAGAAAACACATTCATTGAAAAATTGGAATAAATCTGCCCGCGTGGGGATTCGAACCCACCTACTCCTGTTCTACGCACAGCCGTTTTTCCAATTAAGCTATCGCTGTCATAGTCAGAGATTTTCGAATTGTCGAGATGAATATAAGATTTCGAATCCAACATCGCGTTTCAGATATTTTTCAATAATTCTTCAACAAACTACTGTATAGCATCGTCTGAGAAAACATGCAACCGCATGGATCTCCTTGAAGGTTCAAAAATGATTTTCATTATTTCGTAGAGGTAATATTGGATTTGTTTGGGAATTTAATTTCATATTTTTTGGATATCTAACCGATAAGTTTTCGTAACTTTAAAACTGATTCTCTGATAAGATACTGTTCACTCAAAACAACTTACAACAAACGTAACAAAATCAAAACAATTAGGTTAGTTTTTGTAAAACGTCAGCTTACGGAAGCAAATTCGGATACATTCGAGTAGTGATCGGATTATTCAAATTAAAAGTAAATAATGAGTATTAAATGTCCTGGTAAATTATAGGTCCATATATTAACATAATTTATTTGTAAGAGTTTTAGAGGATTATCCCACTTACTTTTAGGTCCCACTTATTCTGTTAGGACCGAATATTAGGTAAAATGTTCGGAAGAAAACTACTGGCTGTGATTAGCATACGAACGAATATTACAGTATGAAAGTGATTTGAAATATTCATTGATAATAGCAATGGTCCGATAATAGCAATGGTCCCAAAATAGAACCTTGCGAAACTCCACAGCGGATAACTAAAGTCCTTGGCTTAATATTCTCATTTTTTTTTAATTTATACTTCGAATAAATTAACCATATTCAGTAAACTTTTATTTATTTGAAAATGTTAAACCGTGATCCGTATCCATCTCTTGTACTGCATTTGAATATTCTATATTTTTTCAGGTAACCCCAAGAGATCAACCTGGGAGCCACATCCGGACCCGTCCCGACTCCGGGCGGGTTTTCTCCAGTCATTTCCGCTGCAAAAACGCTTTCGTTGAGGGAATCGTCTTGTGCCGAGGCCTTGTGGAAAATGCCACACAAAGGTAAAAATAACTCAAATATATCGAATATTTTCGCATAAAATTTTTATTTGATTTATTATTCGTGCGTCTGGAATAATATAGCAATATGTTATACAGGGCGTTTCATAAGAAATGGTAAATATTTTAACTATAGGTTCAGGACTTCAAAATATTAATATTTTGCTAAATAACATGTCAAATGTTATCTGCTTCTGGGATACAGGGTGTTAAAATTAAAGTTAAAATTGTTCGTTTCGTTTAATTAACGTATTGCTGTTAAATTAGACGGGATAGATGGAAAAATGAAGTCAAATACCTCGGCCTAACCCAGGACAACAAACTTCTCTGGAACACACATGAGAACGAAGTAGTAAATAAGGCCTCAAAAGCCCTAATGATATGCAGAAACATTGCGGGTAAACGATGGGGATGTAACCCGAAAACACTGCGATGGTTGTATACTGCAATAATGAGACCAATCATCACTTACGGGGCTATAGCCTGAAGTAACAGAACTAGTTTAGCTACTATGAGAGCTAATATCTCAAAAGTACAAAGACTAGCCTGTGTTTGCATCACCGTTGCCGCAATGGAGGTGATCTTAAACCTCACCCCTCTACATTTAATGATAGAGAATGTGGCAAAAAGGACACGATATAGAATGATCAGGTACAGAGTAATCAGACGAAAGTCTACTTGCTTCAGGACCAAAAATACCTGGGATATGCCCCAGAAAGAAATGATAAAGAAGTACAGTTTTGTGAAAAACTTCAAAACCACAGAGCAAGAAAGAATGGAGCCAAGAATCCATCGCGCTTGCAACCGAAAGACATGCTATTTAGTGGTATACGGATAGTTCCAAAACCATGAAAGGAACTGGAGCAGAAGTGTATGGGCGTAGAACCAAAAGCTTGGGAAAATACCCAAGCATCTTCCAGGCGGAAATTCACGCCATCGAGAAGTGTATTCAGTTTACCATCGAGAGAAACTATCGTAGACAAGAGATTATCATCATGTCTGATAGTCAAGCAGCCATCAAAGCGCTGAGCTCTTCCGTAATCAGCTCAAAAATGGTCTGGAGATGCCTAGAAAAATTGAATGAGCTAGGCGAGAAAAATAGAGTTTCTCTCACTTTGGTCCAGGGACATTACGGGGTACAGGGTAACGAAATTGCAGATAGTCTCGCAAGGAAAGGAGCTCAAATACCCTTTGTGGAACCTGAGCCGTTCTGCGGTATCAGCAGTAACATAATATTAGAAGAGATTAAAAAAGAAATGGGTAGTAGAAGAACCGATAATTGGAACAATCTCTTGGGGCTAAGACAGGCTAAGATACTTCTGGGTGAATATGACCAGAAAAGATCGGAAGCCTGCATCAGCCTGAGTAAGAACAGGCTACGTATTGTAACAGGGATCCTTACTGGGCATTGCCGACTAAAAGGACACCTTAGTAAACTGAGAGTCGTAGAAGATAGAGAGTTCAGATTCTGTGAAAAGGACGAAACCTTCATTTTAACTGAATGTGTAGCACTCCAGAATCCAAGGGCACTATACCTAGGAGCACATCAAATAGAAGAGGGAGATTTACCTAACTTGCAGCCATTCCAAATTCTACACTTCCTTAAGAAGATAGGATTGGAACGGTAGTTATAGGCATTAAGACATTTCCTTGCTGCATTAGCGACAGAAGGGGGCATAATAGATCTTTTAGGTCGCAGTGTATTAACACCCCATTCCCAACATAACACAACGTATTGCCTTGAAATTTTGTATGGTCATATTTTTGGACTAATAAACCATAAGCATATTATCAATTTGGAGATTAGACAACCGGGGCGCCACCTACACTCTACTGAATGAAAAAACTATTAATTTTTTATTTTTTGCATTTCTATTTTTTTTTTCAAGTCTTTATGGTATACCCTGTAGATTTAAATAAAAAACGTGTTTTATTACTATAAATTCAAACCATTTTTGTTTTCAAGTCTATTTTTTTAAATATTCTACTATGGCTACAAAATTTTCAATACTATTAAAACAAGTATACGTTTTCTGTTCAAATTTACATGGTGTACCATAAAAATTTGTATAAATGCCATGAATAAAAATAAATTTTAACTCTAAAACTCTGTATCTCAGACGTAGATAATATTTGACCCAGTGTAATTTAGCCAAATAATAATATTTTGGGAAAAATATTTAATATTTTTTATGAAACACCTATATTGAATAATTTAGAAAATAAAAAAAGACCATGGTATGAGCCCAGTCTTCGTGAAGTTAGTCCAACTAGCAAAACTACTTTTTAAAATTTTAAATTTATTTATATCGAAAAAATTATGAAAAAAATCAATGTTTCTATTAATGTTTCTAATAATGTTTCTAAAAAAATGGTTGTCTTTCTGATAACATTTAAAGAGATCTAAAATATATTTTCAAAAATAGTTTGCTTTATCATGACATATAAATTTCATAAATAAATCGTAGAGTTATTTCATAAATGTTTCGAGTGGTTAGACCAATTCCACTGAGACAAAGCTCGTATATTGTGTAATATTATTTCAACTTTTATTGAGAAAATTAAAAAAAATAGTATCAATACTGAATTCACGGAGATTCTTTGACTATTTTCCTACATGACTTGGTTTTTGTTGTTGAGTTGATGGTTTACATTATTTATCCTATATTATCTTTGTCGGTTATAAGCAAGTAGGGATAGATTTATTCCAGAACACTCGAGCCTTTATTTTTTTATGCAGAATCACCCCCTGAAGTTTGTCGCACTTATTTACTAACACCCTGTATACCTGTAAATGAGCACTTTAATGTATGTGGAGTTTAGAATTTTTTTCCTAGTAAACAATATATTTATTTGTATTTTGTACCAAGCTACTCAAGTATCTTTTTAATATAGGATTTCAAACGTAGTCTAGCATTAAGTACAACACACGTCTAGCATCAAGTACAACACATCTATTTTGCTGAATTGGTTTAGTAAAGCTGAGTGTAGTTTATTCTAATAGGAATTGATTTTTTTTATTGCTGAAGTTGATGTGGACGAAAGATTTACCTTTATTCAGTTTAGTTCGCCATCTTTTCGTCCTGGTGTTAATCCGGTACCTTAAAAAAAAGAAGGATATTCTCAATTCGTCTGATTTTTTTTATGTACGTTCAACGATAATTCTTTACCAAGTTGTCCGATTTCTATATTTTTTGTTGTTATAAAGGGGGCAACTCAGACATGGTTTCATATAAATTTAGTCAAGATCTGGTAATGGGATCTATGAGAAAATCAGCAAACTCAATTTGTAATGGCATCTGCACGATTTTGAATCCGGTTTTTTAAAATTACTTTGATAACTTGTTGCAATTTTTTATTAGCTTCTTCATAATCCATTCCAATAGTCAGGATTGCATTATTATCTGCTAGTCTTTTAACATATAAGTATTAATTACATTCCACTTCAATAATAATTTATATTCTCTACGCTGTACAGTAAATGCCAAATCTAAAGAACCAAGGACTCGCATTAATAATGCTACGAACACGCCTACCGATGAATAGAATTGGTAGCTTACCTAGAAAGTTGTAAACCAGGGGCGCGTATTTTTTAAGACATAAAATAAATGGAAAATAAAGAATGAGGCTTGTTCATACATATTGCTTAGTGTTATTATTAGTACATAATTCTATAGTCAATTAAAAAATCATTATTTTTAGGTAAGCCGACTTTAGGTTAAGGAGAGCTCTGGTGTTCTAGTATTTTGTATTTTAACTGACATTAACTTTTTTATTAACAAAATATGAAATAACATGTGTATGAAGTAATATATCCTTTCTAATTTTTTATACCGGGTCTTCATTTCAAAACTGGATAGTCCAAATAACTTCTGATTTTATGTAAATTTAAGAAAAACAAAACATGTTCAATTTTATATTATATAGCCTATAAGTAAATACAAACAACGTAAACAGTAAATCACAAATAAATAATGTTCATATGTCTTCGTCAGATTCTTCGTTGGAAGAAGACTCGTCACTGTCGTCACTGGAATCCTCATTAGGATTAATGACGATAGGATTAATTTCCGAACATAAATGAGTTTGTATTTCTCTTTTAAAATATTTATCTTCTACCTTTATAACATGATCGCATCGCTTTTTCCATTCCTCCATACCAATTTTGTTAAATTCTTCTTCTGCTATAATTGTTTTACGTCTTCTAGTTTAACGGTAACATTCCTTTGACTGACATTATTCTTAACAGTTGCCCAAATCAATTCGATAGGGTTCAAGTCGGAGTGACATGGGGGTAACCGTAAAGCGGTGTGGCCGTATTCTCGACACAACTCATCAAATGCATATGTTACATGTCGGTCCTTATGAGATTTAATCAGTTCATATAACTATGGTTTCAAACTTGTTGGATTAAAAGGTATGTTGTATTTTGTCAACCATTCGATCATATTATCATTCTTCAAAGAATTGAAATTAAGTGCTCGATTTGTCTGTAGAGTGTGATAACTAGCATTACCACAAAAACAATTACCGAATTAGGTGGAAGATTAGGTATTAACTTCTCTCTTAACCATTTTCCGTAATTTTCCGAATTCATTTTGGAATGATAATCTCCAGACTTGGTCCCTGATTTGAATAACAACAAACTATTTTTAAAAAACCCATTTCTTCCCTACCGTGAACTTTAATAAGTCTTTGGCCTTTACAAATAACAGAAAACAAACCTTTTGTTGAATCGTCTGTCTAATTCTTGGAAGAAGTATGTCCGCTGTGTATATATGTTTCATCCAAATAAACGATTGGTCTGTTTTGACTTCTAAAATTTTTATCTGTCTCAAATATTTTCTCTTAAAGTTCTTATTTTCATTTTTTCCACCAAAACAACGATTATTTTGTGTTTTTCTCCACTTAAATTAAAATTTTTTAAGGACGCTTCTTAATGAAGTTTCTAATATGTGGATATCTAAATCTTCCATAATTTTATTATTTAACCTTTTAACAGT